CTTGTCCTTGATGGTTTAATGTTGTTGGTTTATGTCAATAGTTTTTCCCTTGTTTTCAGTGCTGCCATAGAGGGTGGATTTTTTTCTCTCAGTACATGTTTTACTAACAGACAAAGTTAAAGTGCTATAAAAAATAAAGCACTATACTGCTTTATGAAATATCCCCTGAAGCACAGACAAACCTCTCTTCATCTGTTTTGTGATGATGACAACGTTGTGAAGCATGGTAAATAATAGTTCCCTTCTGATGGGCAGCACTGAGGAAAAGTCCTGAAGGAAGCACTAGGTGTTTCAGCTGTATTCTCAATAGGCACTGTTTAACTCTCAGCTCTTTCTGTATAGCTCACACTGTGCTGAGATAATCTGCTCCCTTCAGACCATATAATGGCATTCACTACTAAACAAAAGCTAGAATTACTGATCCTATGTCATTCTTAAATGTGAGAAATGTGATATATATAACCCCAGGTATACCATGTCGGTCTCTGAACTCTGCACAGGCATACTAAGCATAAGAAAAGAACCACCTGTACGCCTACATGTAGACAGCCCACCATTATAAGGCTGAGACTACTACGCTATCATTTATTTCGACTGTTTAAAAAGCCACAGGTCTCCACAGACACACAACCTTTGGGGGTGGGGGGTGGTGGGGGAGATCAAGTACTTTTACAAACTAAATAAAGAAAGTGGTCATCATTCCAGTTGTGTTCAATGTGATTTTAAACAAGCGTTTAAACACTGCCCCCTCCCTGTGCACTCTCTCTAAAAGCAGGGACCTACCCAAAAACAATACCACTGCTAACAGAACATTCCTGGTCGGTAGGCCGTTGCCAAGAACAGTTTTGGATGGCTGACGTGTTTAGGTTGTATGGCCTGGCAAGTCCTCCAACCCTCGGTGTGCCAGGGTTCAATGATTTTCAATGGACCATTTAAATTAAAGAGCAGAGGGAAGAATTCTTTAATGGCTCCACATGCAAATCTGAGAAGTCACAGAGCTCCTGGTAGTGAAAATAGGCCTACATCACACAACTCTAGAGGCCTCTATAGACAAAAAAAATGAGGCAATCCAATACGTACATTACAGAAACATAGTAACATCTGACAGACGTGAGGGAGCTGTTCAGATGCAGCAATTCAGCAACCTTCATCTTGAGGAATAAGGCACTTTCCACTCCTTCCCTTTATGAGATGTTACAAAAGTACAATTCCAATAAATCTAACAGCTAGGACAATTAATTTATCATTACCCTTCAATCTGTTTTCTTCTCGCAGTGTCACTTTAATGTGAGAACATACACATGAAAGTCACAGAGTGAATTTTTAGAACGATTTTACATGGTTGTTCTTCATGAAAAGGACAAAGAATGCTGTCTTGAGCTTTTACACATTTCTCATGCATTGTTTAGTTAATCAAACTCATCACAATGCAACAGATCAATGACTGGTTCATGACAAGGCAAACTTACCCACAGACTCCTGCCATATGGCTTTAATCAGCCCAGACCAAACCAATCATCATGCACTCAGTTCAATGTGTATTGAGCAATTTCCATGCCGTACCCAAATTACACATTTGTTGCGCATCCAAATTAAAATCAGACGACTGCAAGTCAAATAGACTTTTAAACGCAAAGCATAAGAGCTCAGCAAGCAAACCATAGTAACAGAGGCAGGTGCTCAAATAGTAAAACTCCGCTCTAGTGTTGTCAAAAACATCAATATTTCGTTACATGTTGATTCTGTGAATTTGGAATTTGGAATACTAATACTAATACTAATACTAATACTTTTCTACGGTATCAATTCTATCCATACAAGAGACGCTATTCTGATCCCCCATTCATTTGACACATGTAGGCTATCATTAGAGCTATGGCAAAATTGTAATATCACAATACTTCAAGAAGTTTTAAAGATGCACTGTCATTATTTTTTTGGGACAGACAAAGCAAAGCCACATTTGAAAAATACTACCAAAAATTATAAATGCAATGATTTGCATTCAATATTTCACATAATTCACTGCACTGAAGTCAACTGAACAGGAACTTGTAATCAAACTTGCAGCTGGCAAGTGTTTGTAACTACTGACGATATCCACGATATGCTCAGCAAAGCATGTTGTCTTATTATTTTTCACAGTAACATTAAATATTATCATACTGCCCAGCCCCACTACCATACATACACTTTGTTCATACATGGAGCCGCAGCCCCGCCTACTCTCGCTTACAGGGCAGTATGTTTTGCTAAATGGCAACTGCAGCCATGGTTCTGACAAACTGCCCTATCTTGTAGAAATGTAGCATATATTTATAGGCACATTCTTCTAAAAGATGCTTTTTCAAGGGTTCATTAGTGAAGACAACAATTCTTTATAGGACCATGAACTCTGAAAAAAACCCTCTGCATGCTAAAAGGGTTCTTTTTATGGTGAAATAGTTCTTCACATTGACAGAGAACTTGTTGTATACGGTTCTCTATAGAACTTCCTTGAAAATGGTTCTAAATAGCGCCAAAAAGGGTTCATAACAATAGAAGCGCCCTTTTTTGGTACTATATAGATCCATTTTGTAAAAGGTTCAATAAAGAACCTTATAAAACACATTCTCTGTCAATCTGAAGAACGTTTTTACCATGCAAAGAACCATTTAAGCATACGAACCGTTTTTTGAGTGTTCATGGTTCTATAAAGAAAAAAACTGTATGTAGGACATTTTGATGTCCTAAATCAGCTTATCTGAAAATGCTACCAGCACTGACAGTATAGGTAGGATACTTTGTTAGTCTAAATCACCTATTTAGAGGGTATGTAAGGCTGTCTGGACATTCTTTGGCTTCACAGCAAAAGAGTCTGACTATTATTTTTATTATTAGAGATTTGGCCATTTTTTTTATTTGATTGATTTATGATTGAATTTTTACATTAACCCTTTCAAAGTTAGAAGGCCTGAAAAATCTCACACAGCAGAGTTTTAATTTATAGGCTAGAACAAGGAGGTCATGGATTTTAATAAAAGTTATTTTATATTACAATGTGTATTTTGCATTTTTTGAAACACTTGACTTTTTCCTTTTTTATTTGACTTTTAATGTAACAGTCTCAGAGGGAGATTCTGAACAAAAAGAATTTGATTCAAAAGAAAAATCTTATGCTTAATTGTTATATGTCTGGCTGTGTCTTTGGCATCCCTCTTTGACATTCAAACAGGCAGCGAATATTGATACTTTTCAAAGTATTGTATCAAAGTTGGAATTTTCAGTGTTGTGAGAACACCACACAGTGGCAATATTCACTAAAGTGACCAAAGAATTTTAGGCTACTACAATTACAGCGCCATGACCGTCCTTGTTTTCTTTTTTTCACAGAAATACAGGCATAACAATTATTGGCACCCCAAAAAACACAAATGAGCAAAACTTTGTGTAACAACATAATTTAATTGTAACTTTCAAAATATTCAGCTAATGGCTACAAAAAAACACCCACATCTGAAATGCTAATCTCCACAATCAGGGCAATGACTGATTTTCAAACAGCCTGGAGTCATTATGAACCTTTCTAAAGAGGACACAAGTATATTTCCCACACATGTACCGTGAGAAGGATGGTTCGAAACTCTTCAAAACTTTCTCCAAGGAACACAGTTAAAGCAGACAGCTGCATCCTGGGGTCACCAATTCTCCAAACCTATAAGTAGATGCCACCTGTATGCCAGCTTGCAAAGAAGCCAATAATACCAGCCATTACTGATGAGCTGCGGTTTATAGGTATCGACAGAAATATTGTTTATAATGTGCTAACATATATCTGAGCTTTTGGCAAGTCAGTAATTCAAACTAACAGACGGGAGGGCAAAGCCTGACTAGGGAGAACAAACAAATGTGAATCTTCCCTATACAGAAACAGAAATGTCTAAATCTAACCACTGTGAGAATAACAATAAAAAAATGTGTTTTGTGTTAAGAGATCTAATAAAATATAAGAACAGTAGGAATGGGTAATCAACAGAAACCAAAATCCCATAGCTTCACCCTCCCAGCCTTTTAGGTCAGATGCAAACAAAGGCTGCTTACAGAAAAAACTGAACTCCTCAGTGACACCACAGCAATAAATAATAAGACAGAAAAATCCAGGTAACAAGAAGCGAATGAGGACACCTTCTAATATCAAACGTTTATAATATCCTTTCATGTCGTATCTGCCCAATGTCAGCAGAATGATACAGTTGCATATATCTGCCTATTCAGCATACAGCTGCCTTTATAACTTTATGCTGAAGCAACAAAAAGTGTTTCAGCCTGGACCGCTTTTTTAAATGAGGCACAAATTAGGTGCAGCCAATCGGATATAGTGGTCATTTACATTTATCTGTCTCAAGACATACTTTTCAAATCTAATGAACATAGAAAGATTGGAAAATAAATATAAAAATGAATAACAACTGTATTAGGTACATAAAACCACCTAAACTTTGTATGTGGACCTGAAATACTTGAACAATTTATGATTTGGGCCACTTTAAATAAATATTATCTCAGTATCAACTGACACTCAAGGTATTGGGAAAGTAAAAATGCTATTTGCCATCTTTATGAAAAGAATTAAGACTGAATGTGCATCTGAATAAAAAGGAAATCATTTTGATTTCTGTTAACAGATTAACTGTTTACATCAGAATCTTTACATTACTTTATTGCCTCCAGCAGATACACCTAAGGATATTTTTGAAGGTCTACATATTATGGTGTAGTCAATTAAAATAATAGAAGTGATTTTTATTACAGTTGAAGCTCAATAACGTACTCTGTTCATGCACACTTTTGGACATTTGTGATTTTTTTTTTTTTTTAATCTTTCCCCCATGTTTGTTTGTGAACTAAATGGCTTTACTAATGCATATTTCATTGCATTGGTCTTTCATACAGTACTAGCTTTTAGGCTGTGTTTAAGAGTCCTGGCGTTCTAGTACAATTCATGCATGTACCAGCCTTACCTCTTCATCTGATGTATCCTGCTCATACTCGTCCACCTGAGAAGATATCTTCAGCCCACTGTTTGTGCCTAACTTCACACTCTTCTCTTCTCCCTCTCCCTCAGCAGGCACATTCTTTTTCTTCCTCAGCTTTGTGACCTTAGCAGTTTTGTCCTCAGCCTGTGAAAGAAAAACAAATCACTCTAAGTACTTAATAAAGAAAACAAAAAAAAGTTTCTTTAAATTTAACTTCAATTCCATAACACAAGCAAAGAGTTAAAGTACCCTTAAAAATTCGGCAAGGTGCAAATCAAAACTTCAAAACATAACATTTCCTCAGGGGGCACACATGGTAAAAGGTTTAGCCGTGCAGCGATGCGCTGTGCAGCCGGGATTCAGGTTCATGGCCCATCTGTGGCATGGGCCACACAATGGGCCGTGTTCTCAGCGGTAAGAAAAGACCGCAGGATGCCTCTCTCTCCTGATGGTATCTCACTCTTGAGGAAGCTGGATGGCCACATGGTTCAGAATTTATTGTTTTACTCAGTGGGATGGCATTTGATAATCCAGACTGTCTAGTAGTTCTACAGAACAACTATTCATCAGATATGGCATGTTTCTGTTTGCCTTCTCCGATTGTTGGTCCTACCCTATACATGGATAAGAGGCTTACTAGACTAGATTTGGAGAGATGTCTTGGGAAAAATACAATCTTGCACTTCAGTGTTCCACTCCAACTTGTCTTCCCCAAACATTTTCCATTTCTCAGACCTGAAATCTAAATCTTTCATGGTAACCTGACAGTGTGCAATTTTTTATGGATTCCATTTTTCTTTTTGTGCATACACCACCATGTTATTTACACACAGCATTGAAAAACAGTCCTTTGGTGGGGACAGCAGAGATGAAAACCTGCGCCGCTGACCTTTATTCAATATGTCCCATCTCTCAGAAAAGGCAGAGCTGGCCTTAAAAAGGGCGCTTTGAGCTCTGCGTTTCCCTGGAGGCAGCGAGAGGTAGGTGAGGAACCTATGTTGATTTATTGCTCCGGGGAGTCTTGATATCTTTTGGAGCACAGTGCTAAGTGAAACACTTCCTCCCCAATGCCTAGTTAAATCCACATCAAGCTAGCTGAGCCATTTCAAACAGATGGCCTTAGGTAACCTGTGGGGTGGGCGTTTCTTTCCTGCTAGCCCTGAAGAGCTAAACACAAGGTGATTTTTAGGAGAAGGAGAAAAAAAAAATGGGAGAAACCTGCTAGCCTATGTCATTAAATTATAGGGGTGTAACAGTGCATCACTACATTGTGGAACATTGTGGACGTGACACTGCATCACAGAGGATGCACATCCAATTAATAACAATCTAATATCATTGCACTGACTGAATGCCAAAGTTTGCAAATGATTAATGTCAAACACCACCTCATTCTAGCCTCAATCCTGCCTCCCAGCTCCAGTGCTGTTTGTAAGTTGTCCATGTGATCACTATTCTTCCTCTGAATTGAATCATGGGCTGAGCTTATTAAATTAAAGATGTGGCAAAGATGTGATGAAGGGAGAAAAGAAACTGCTAAAGCTCATTTAGCTTTACAGACAAGCAGACAACAGGGCTGCGGGTCAGCTGCAACATTCAAGTCATACTAAGTAGGACAACAGCCCATGACATAACTTACCCAAATGATTGCCAAAACAGATGGGCTCAAGGCAATGGAGACAATAAGACTGAAAACATGTGCAGCCCACTGCCCACTTAACTGCCTCATCTATGCAAACGGACAGCAGCAGACAAAAGGGGTTACTAGCCATGGAACCATCATTAACACCTTGATGTGTTGCACACTTTGGTCACCAACTCCTGGAGACACCATTTTTTGTGGCTGATTCAATAGCAACACAGATTTTCTTCTTACTCCAAAATGTAGTTGATCACTCAAGACACATTTGGAGTGATAAAATTAAGGCTTCAAGTGTTGTTTTTTTCCCTGTAGACACAGGAGTGGTTTTGAAATGTTGCTGTGGCCAAAGACAAATAATTCAGTAACACTCCCACCCCAAATCCCCCCCGCCCACTCCACCAAAAAAAATCCTTAACTTCATACAGTATAATATTAACCCACTGCCATGTATAAACCATATTTATGGCAGATATTTAACATCTTTCACGGCTCTGGTCTTTGTCCTTTATTTTACTTCATATCATCTGGTACGTTGTTTAAAATATCAGTACATAAATCTATACGAACAGCAATGACTACATAGTAAAATGTTTAAAGCAAGAAACGATCATTCGCACCAGAACCTAAAACAGGCAACAAGCTACATTCCAGAGCCAGCTTAGAGGAAGCCTCCTATTCCAACTCATCCCATTCCACACTCCTCAAAAAATCGTTCGTCAAGGGTTCTTTAGTAAAGGAAATGGTTATATATAGAACCAGGAACATTCAAGAAACCTTTGCATGATAAAAGGTTTCTCTGCATTGTGAAATGGTAATTCAGATTAATGGAGAATGTGGTGCAGATGGTTATATGTAACCTTTCTGAAAAGGTTTCTATATAGCACCAAAAAGGGTTCTTCTATTGTTATGATGTCAAGCTTGTAACAACAAAAGAACCATTTTGGTGCTACATAGAACCATTTTCAAAAAGGTTTTATATAGAACCATCTACAGCATATTCATCAGTCTGAATCATGCAAATGCTGCTTTGAGTGTTCATGGGTTTATATAGAACCACTTTTCTCACTAAAGAACCATCTTTTTTCAGAGTATACACACAAAAAAAATGATTGCAAAATGCTGGACGAGGTGCATGAGCAAGTCCTCCATGAATGGGAGTGAGGAGAGCTTAACACCTAAACATGTTAAATTAAAGGTTTTTCTAGTCACTCATGCAGGAGCTTCCTCTAATTAAGCAAAAGCTGTATTAAAAAACGTGCTTTTTCCAAATTGGAGCATATCCTGTACAAAACCTGGTTAGAAAATCTCTCTCTCTCTCTCTCTCTCTCTCGAGCACCCTCTAGAGCATTCTCATAAACCTGAAAGATATTAGTAAGTGCCAGTTCTCCTCATTAGAAATTCCCTGTACAAGATACATTCTGCCTTACTTTCTGTTACAACGGCAGACACTTATTGCTGTTACCAAATAAAGACAGACCAGCTACTTTACAGTTCAATGCCTGAACGTTGCTATCTAACCCATTACATTCAATGTTAATTTGCCTCGGTATGCAGCAATGCTAAGACAGATGGCTAACTTTAGCCATTCTGACAGACTAAAATGACAAGCAGTCAAAGTAAATGATACTGACCTAAACCAAAATAAATTAATATGAGCTGAAGTTGTTAAAATTCCTTAATTACATCATCATAAATCTGTTGCTAATCACATTTATCCTGCTTCCACGACTAACACTACAAGTACTACTAGAACTGGGCAATATGATGTGATAAAGATCACAATATGCTTTTCTGAGCACATGGTGGATACAGTCATTATTGCAGATGACTAAACTGCATGATTCATTACAAAGAGTGCATAATTAGTCCTGTTTAATTGGACTCAATTTATTAACAGTTTTTGGTACTGCTGCTTCTGTTTTGTCAGTTACACATCAGATTTTAGGAATATACAAAATATCACATAACATGAAAATTTCCTCTAGTACTGTGATGTATTTTTGCCATGTCGCAAAAATAGTAGTAACTAATATTACTACTACTAACAGTAAGAAGTCTCTGTGTAATTATTCTAAGGATAACAACAGAAAGAACGAAGCTATTTTCTTCACCTACTTGAGGAAAACATTGAAACTGCATTTTAGTATGATTTAGACTAACATACCAGTCTGGCTATTATCTTCAAGATATCAGTTTAATGGTGAGGAACATCTGCCTGACTGGATACACTTTTCCGCCGGATGGATCTAATGCCATTTTGCATACTTTTTAGACAAGTTTCAATGGCCACTGAACTTCAAACCTTAACCTAAACCTTAGACTATTAGACTACTTATAGAATGTAAATAAATGTCTACATTTGTGCAGTGAAGGCTGAGGTGTAGGCTGAAAAACTGTAATCCAGAACCATTACTTAGGAAAACTAGATCAGGAGAAGATGTGAAACAAATACACACGGCGACATTCACTTTATAAGCCTTAATGGTTACGAATAACCTAACTCTGAACAATCTGACAACGGTTTGGAGCACATCTTGTGATGAATTGGAGCCAGCAAGCTTCAGGACATCCGTTTCAAATCTGAGCACCTCCAGTGGCCTTTTGAGCAAGCCTACACACGCCTACGCATCCACCAACACACACGGTTAGCACACACACACACAAGCCAGCCCATAACATGTTTTTAAAGTGTGCTGGCTGACTGTCCAGGGTTCCGCTCAGCAGGCCCCAAGTCTCTTATTATTCTGCTGCTTCCTGTGAACTGCAGACAGGTTATTGAGTGAGTTGTGAGTGGAACAATCGGAAACCACTCATCAGGACACACACTGATGCTTAATTAACATCTGACCCAATCAACTAAGGCCCGCTAGAGTCCACAGCACCTTCTCGACTGCACGAGATTACAGGAAGGTGAACTGCCCTCTCTCAGTCTAGGAACAGACATCTTATGTCTCGCTGATGGAAACAGACCAGACGTGTCTGCGGCGTGCCACTGGTGCGTGGGCGTGCGTTTGTGAGAGAACGAAGTCTTCCTGGTAAGACGAACCCCATTTCGCCCCCTCAGCTCTCACCCCCATCCCCATTTCATCTTCCCACCCACTCGCCCGGCGCGAGCGCGGCTGCTGCTGGATCGGAGCCGCCGCTGCTGGGCCGGTGGGAATGCTCGCAGGGACCATAAAAGTCCACCAGCAGTTGCATTAACTTCTGTCTGGTGTGCATCAGGCCCCAGATACTCCATACACAAAAGCTCCACAACCAGCAAATTTGGAAGGGGGGGCTAGATGGATTAAAAAGATGAAGCAAGAACAATGCAGTCCACTGACTGACCCTGACTCCAGACAAAGAAAGCAAGGTTTCAGATTTGCTAATGTCTCATGATCATAGGCATCTACTGCTTAACTTCTAAGCTTAACTCTTTCCTTCAGTGATCAAGGCCTCCAGGTGCTGTTTACACTGAAGTAAAGTTAGTCATAAAGGCTTTTTTTTTAAAGAGTCTAAAATACATAGTACAGAAATTTAATGTAGATGTCTTCGATAGAGTTTGAATAGAGTTCAGTAGAGAAGTCGACAGAGAAGCCTTCTACAAAAAGAATCAACTGAACTCCGTCATCTCAGTGGGGAGTTGATGCAGTACAATTAAATAATTCCAGGTTTGTTCTACAGCATGACAGCTGATGAGTCTGCACTGAGTGAAATCATTTTACACAGTCTAAATCTCACACTTGCACATAGCAAGATACCAAGAGACCCAGAGAACAGCAGGATGGCCCAAACACATGAGAAACCTTGCCATTATCTCACCTGTTTATAATACCACTGCCAGCCTGCTGGGGGGCAGTAGTGAGAGCTTTGAGAAATTAAAGTGGCAACAAAGACCTGGACCTCCAGGATAAAATGTTTAGAAAAGACAGTTTCAAGCCATTAAGTCAACTAGTTTGTACTCAGAACACAGCATCTTAAATTAAGACTGTTTTTTAGTGCTATATTACATGTAAACTAGCTACTCAGACCAGCTTCCAGCTTTTCAAATATCCCATATACAAATATTCCACATTGACAACTACTTAATTCGTGAAAGTCCGCACTACAGCTATCACTGTTATCTAATACTATTAAAATAAAAACAAGCAGTAAAAATTGTGCTCACTACCTGTAATAAAAGTAAAAACAACAGTTTTCAACACAAAAACTACATCAAAACTACAATAACCATTGCAAAACTAACTAAAATGAAACAATCACTGAGACAATTAGTTTTCATTTGTTTCCAGTGTGTAAATAAGAATCTAGAAGTGTATCCCTTTTATATTTGGCTTTTTTTAAGGAAAGCTGGAGCACAGCCGAGTCTACTGTGTTATTTTATTCTACCCTTATCAAATACTTGCCATCACAGAATTCATCATAATCGAGAAACTATAACTAAAATAACGCTTTTCATAAAATAAAAACGTAACTAAAACCAAGAACAGTATTAAGACTACCTGAAACTAAACTGAAATCAAAAACCAAAATAAAAAAAACTAAAAAATAAAAACTAATAAAAATGTCAAAACTGTAACAACCCTGGGCCACCTCAGAGTTAGGATTTTTGGAAATTTAATTTTTTTCATTTGGTTCAGTTGACTTGTAACAGCTGAAGTGCCTCAAATTATTGCTTGTTTATTTGTCAGTAATTCTGCAGGGATACAAGCTCTTTCACATTTACCACCATGATATAAAAAAATAGAAAACAGAGATGCTTAACATCTATGTGTATTACAATCAAAGCAATAATTGACTGGGTTCAGCATATCAAATTTTAAAGCTAAAATCACCAAATAACATCACACTGTTTTCATGCCCAGTTCATTTCCTAAAGTCCGCATCAAATTTTAGGTTTATCTGTTTCATTTGGTTCAGTTGGTTTCACTCTGCAACAGCTACTATGCAACAAATTACACACGTAAGTGTTCGTTTATTGGTCAGAAATGTTGGAGGGATGCAAGTGCGCTGTTGATCTCATTTTTGCCACCATAAGAAGAGAAAAATAGTATTAGAAACACTTATTTCCTCCGTTTATAACAGACAAAGCAATAATAATACACCTTGATATCTGCTTCTTTATGGTTGGTCTACCAATTTGAATTTAACCAATCAGGTTGCTGATGCCTGGCCAAAAATACATTCTGCAATCCATGTGCCAAAAACAAATGCATATATTTTCAACTGCTATTATTTTATTGCTTTGCCATTATTAACAGCAGCTCATGCTGCAAAATTCATCCCCACCAGCATGGAACCGAAGCAGCGTTCACAGAAGCAGACTGAGACTGCCGGTTTTTTAGTGGACCAGGGTTCAGTTCTTTGGTGCGGACCTGAGTACAGGCGAAGCGTTCACATGTGTAAACGGATCGAACTAAAGAAAAGGTTCTACAGACCCACACCAAACAAGTTAGCAGTGAAAGAGCCTTTAGTTAAGAAATATTCCAAGTGACCTTTAGGAATTTACACAGTGCAGTGACATAAACTGTGGCCTAGTGCATTAGTTTGTGTATCGCAGTAAAAACATTTTTACCAGAGCTGCAGCTTCCTACACTGAACACAAACTCACAAAGAATTTACTGCTTGAGAAATGTGTGGTTTCCCAGCTTAAACAGAGATTTGATTTGTACTGCTAATGAGGTTTTTTAGTTTCATATCTACAGTTCAGCACTTAAGTGTAAGCTTCCTGAACTCAGTCAAAAAGTGGTGGGTTGTTGCCCTAGTACTTTGAAAAGCAGTGGGTCAAATGCCCACTCAGTTCCATGGTTCTGCCAACCCTGGGACCAAAACCTTTATTTTTATCTGGTAACAAATGCAGCAAGAGACTGACGTAGTAAATGTGCATGGTACCGTTCCCCCTTTCACAAAATCTGATCACTTGTGGTCACCCAAAATGAGGACTGTAAACGGCTTTGTCTTGCTGTCTGTCTGTGAACAGATCGCTCAAGACGATAAAATATACACTCTGAAATGCCCATACACTCCTAATCAGCCAAAGTTTTTCTAGCTTTTCACAACATTGAAATGTTGTTTAGGATTTGACTTTAAAGTCACCCTGAAATCAAAACAGATTTTACCTTATTAGTTCATGTCTTTGGACTTTTTAGGCACAATCCACTGTGTCATATTGTTCAAAAGACAAAATTCTTGTTTCTCCGTCATCTTTGATCACAGTGTAGTGACTTTTGCCTACTATTAAAAATATACTAACCAATAATATCTTGGCTTGTTTCCCCTTCATCTCCCACCAGACTGACCAATCATCGAGCAAAATCACCCATCATCACCTCTGCTCCCTTCTGCATGTACATGTATGTCAGCAGGCAACCTCCTTTCTTCTTGTCACCTTAGTCTATCTATGTTAACAAGAGTAGAGTAGTTCAAATATTTGTGGTAGTTCTGCACTGTTTTCTAAAGTTTCTATTGCTCTGTGAGGCTGTGAGGCAGGTCAGCTGATGATGGAGACACATGCACACACATGCACTGTCCATCTCTCGCTCACACACATTAGGTAATTACACTCGTACACGGGTTTATTTTAGCGATAGCCTGGCTGAAAGCCATGTGGATGCTAAAAGGCTAGCCTGTTAACCAGCACTTCACCTCGTCTATGTCCAAAAGAGTAAAACAAAACCAAAAAATATACGTTAAAATCAAGCTTTTAAACAACTGATCATGTTTCAGAAACTACAGAATATCTATATACTACAGCACTTTATTTTTTGACATTTTTTTTTCCCTTTGGCTTTTCTACAGAACAGATCGATTCTGCTACCTATCAGAATCTGACTCTGTGTTAGTTTTGGAACGCCTGCTTTTCATGGTCAACCAAATCTCGAAGGATAAAATCACGTCCTGCCCACAATTTTCCGCAGTAGTAGCCTGCTCCACTTGGAAATATGTCATGTTAGGGAAGAAAAATGCCTTCTGATTTCCGATTCACGTTGACTTTAATGATCATAAAGTCACAAATCTTTAGGGTCTTTGAGATTATATCATGGTTAAATCTTCAGTCGAGATGCCAGCCTCTATATGATTTAACTACAAATATCAGGCTTTAAAGGGCTTGCCCATATAATGCAAAACAGTGTTTCTACATTATTACACGTCTGTGCTGTCCAGTTAGCATGTACGTTGCAAGTGCAAAATGTGCAAAATAACACTTTATATGAAAGTTCATCAGTAGATAAATAGCTGCGTTCCAAAGCTTAGGCTGCAGCCGAGGTAACATGGGTCCTCGGTAGGACTGTCCTATGAAGACTCCTTCCTGTAGCCTATTGGTCACACAAACAGAACAGTCCTAACGAGGCTGCGTGGTGACTTTACCAGAGTGGCACAAAACTCTTGAGGGAACTGGTGAGAGAAAATGGAGCCCGGTGCATTGTGTTTGTTGCTTTTTCATTTCTTTACGGAAAAGGAGAAGATGTTCTTATGTAGTACAATAAACTACATATATACAAATACTTCAAAATAAAATACAACATATGGACGAATGCTTTAATTAATCAGTGATTTTACACTTTATAAGGTAACAAAGACTAATTGAAGGACGTGAATGACTTACATTTTGAAACAAACTCTACTCCAACAGCTTTGTTTTCCGGCATTTTCGTGGTGCTGTTTTTTTTTCTTTGCGTCGTTCGTGCGCAGATAAACAGTTCTAACCGAAGGGTAGAACTAGGGTAGGGGGGGTACAGGGTAACCAAAGGCCTAGAAGGATACATCTGATGTGCCCTTGAAATCACTCAGTGTAGGCTGCATTTCTAGGCTGTATACGAAGGGTCCTTCACTTTGGAACGGCCTGCTATTACGTAGCAGCTAAGAAATGCGGCCTGCCTTGGCTGCAGACTAGGCTGTGGAACGCAGCTAATGTCTCTTTCTTAACTGTTGTTATGTGGCCAAAATCAGTAAAGCCCAAAGAAGCACCTAAAGCACTTTAACTGTTGAACTTCCACTGTGCACTTCTTTAACGTGTCAGACAAAACTGAAAATGAGGATATGAAAATGATAAAAGCCTTTACGAATAAAGTGATGGTCAAATCCTTTTGGCAAATTCTTAATGTGAATAAGAATGGCACAATAAAACCTGTATAACATAAAGTAACATTTGTGATGACAAGACCAGGAAAACTGCCATGCTATTAACAATACCTGAGGTTTGAGGCTGGTTTCACTGTTTTTTTTTGTACTTTTCCCAGTTCCACTAACATTTGTTTCATCTTTCGCAGAATCTGTTACAACTTCGTCATCGTCACAGTCATCTTCTTCTTCTCCCTCCTCCTCCTCCTCATCGTCGTCGTCGTCATCATCATCATCACTTCCTGAGTCTTCAAGGCCAGAGAAGACACTCTCCTCACTGTCTGAGAGATCTTCATTCCCCTCATCACTATCATCAAGATGGCCTGCCTCATCAGCCCTTTTGTCAAACATGGGGAGCTGAGAAAAAACAGGACATTCACATAAATGAGATGTTAGGTTAGTTCAGGGATGCATGATAACTTAGGAACCCTATTGGTATCAGCAGATGTTTAGAGTTGACAAGTGTTTCAAACCGATATTTGATTATGTATTTGTTAAATTCCCAATAAAAAGAATTATAACTGAATACAACGATTTCAAATAAATGTTATGTTTCACTGTAATGCTAATCCAGGCAGATCTAGTTCTATTCTCTACATTTTATAAATGTAAACATCGCAACAGCCCACAATTCTTATATTGGTGCATCCCTAAAAACAATATCTGGCACATTTCATCGCATTAGTTCTCACATGCAGAGACAAAACATCACACAGGTTTGCATTAAAAAAAGGGTCACGTTACACTCTTAAAAAAGATGTTTTTTCAACGCCTTCTTTAGTAAGGGAAATGGTTCTATTTAGAACCACAGGATTTTATGCTAAAATGGTTCTTTGCATGGTGAAATGATTCTTCAGATTGATGGAAATATGAAACTTTTCTTTAAATGGTTCTATGTAACACCAACAAGGGCTCTTCTACTGTTACAAGCTTGACATCTTAACAATGGAAGAACCCTTTGTGGTGCCATATAGAACTATTTTCAACAAAGTTCTAAGTAGAACCATATACAACACAAGAAGTGGAAGAACCACTTCACCATGCAAAGAACCATTGAAGCCTGAAATTGTTCTATAGAGAACTCATGGTTGTAAATAGAACCACCTTTTTAAGAGTGCAGCTAAAAAGTATTGGAAGTGTATCTTCCAGAAAGTTTTGGGTGACACAGACTTTTATTATGTCAGCATAGTCGCTTAACTGACAAACTAAAGTTGCAAACCTTAGATACCAAACATGTCTTGGCCGATCTAGTGTAAAGTGACAGCGTGATAGTAAGAGTGTACATTTGATTTTTCAGTCAACCATTCCTTTAAACTACAGCAAATACAACAACGGTGTAAGCTTGAGTGCTACCGCTAACCGGTCAACATTACTTTCTTCTCCGAGATCCAAAACATATTTGATAAAAATGTTATTATTTAAACTTCTAGCAACATCAATAAATAGTTCTTACTGATATGTGCACCACATGTGCGCACACGGAGCGATTCATGTTGTTATTAAGCATTTAGCCAGCATGCCAGACTGAAAGCTGAAGAGAAGCGGCTCGCCGAGCACACATTACCCAAACAGCTGTATTAATTCCCACTGCTGCAGCCTACCTGCCTCCTAAACGGAGTAAAACAGTTCAACCTACCTGCTCCTCGTCCTCCTCCACGTTTCTTTTCTTCGCTGTAACTTTACTCATGCTACCGTTTTGTATTACTTTAACTCCAGACTTGGACATGCTGGACGCGGAGAGGCGACCATGTGGGTCTGGATTACGTCGGAGGTCAAAGGTTGAACGCATGCTCGTCTTTTTGAAAACTTTGGCTCCGTCTGGAACCGCGTACTACCTCACTAAAAAGTGTGTCAAAAATAGTACACCACCAGTAGAAGTCCATTCATTAGTGTAGTATGTGTAGTATAGTGGTATGTGGTTTCGGACGCAACTAAAATGATAAATAAAAATAATAAAAAAAGTCTAAAGTATTTTTAAACGTTTTGAGGAAGAGTGTGACGTATTTTAATAAAAGTATGTAGTTCATAAAATATATATAGTGTTTTGAGGAACCACATTTAAATTTAATTTTGGTTTTCACGAAGAGGGAAAGGGTCAGAGGTTAAAGATTGGTTTGTAACGAATGAGAATTTTTTTACAATAATAATTTTTATTAACGGAAGCTGTCCAGAAAAAAACAGTGTTTTACCAAATCTTAATAAAATTTAATACAATAAAATAAAATAAAATGTATTTTTCATTTTTTTCTTGAGGTAAAAGCTCTTAAGTGACGTCACTCAATGGCAGCTACCATGCGCCTTTGCGGCAGTTGTTTCCTACGCAGTTTGTTGTAGAAATGTCAACATGGTGGAAATTTCCACTACTTTTGGTTAACGACAGCACGTTAAGGGATAAACATAAACTGGTCTGTCTGCCGTGGGCGAGGACGCGAAGCGTCAAGGAAAGGAGCCGAGGTGCCGTTGGCGCCCGCACCGCGCTGCTGGGCGAATTCGACTTTAGTTAAACGGGCTTCTCCTCCAGAGAGTGAGGCTAGCTGACGAGCTAAGCTAAGGCTGCGGTAGCCGAACTGCTCCACTCACTCAGCCCAGTAATCTTTTCGCATCATCTGGGGGCAAACGAAAGCTTTATTTCTCATTTCGGACATGGAATTCCACACCGTTGGTTCTGGTGGACTGTTGGTGTCCAGTAGCAACGTGCCTGCTTTTCTCACCAAACTTTGGACGCTGGTGGAGGATCCAGAGACCGACCCTCTGATCTGCTGGAGCCCCGTAAGCTGAAAGCACTCGCAGCTGGCTAGCTTAGCCTAATTAGCCGAAATAGCTAATGACGCCGTTAGGAGTAATTTAAGTGTTATTTAGCTGCTGGGATCGCTAATGGTTGTATTAATATCGTTTTATCTTAAACATGAAGCTCTTTCATGGTTGTGGCGCCTTGGCATTTGGTTTGTGATATGTTTATGTAGGTAGATTGGCTCTGCTGTAGGGCTTGGTCAAACTTGTAGCTAGGTTAAGTAGAAACAGAAAGTGCGCCGTACTGTTAGGCTGCTGTTCGACCACATCGTAGGTCCTGACAGAGAACCTGAGTTGTGAATTATTTAATATATATATATATATATATATATATATATATATATAAACTTTTTAGTTACTGAGTCAATACGTTCTTAAGGAGCGTGGCATTAGAATGAAGTAACTTCAAGCAGTGTTTAGACTGTGTCCTTATATAGGCCTAGGCCCTTTAGCGTGCCTTTACTAATGGAGATTTGTGGTGGTCAGACAGTCGCAAATCAGGTCATGGCGAGGCAGCATGGCTTGTGGTCAGTAATGCAGAGCCTCATGGACATTGACATGCCAATAAACAGAAATAAATATAAGTGGAAGACATCTTGTGTTTTGAAAATAAAAAAAATACCACTTTGTTTAAACTCCAGACAATGTGTTTAATCAATATATTGTCACTAAGTGCTGCATCTGCTTTAAAACCCTTTAAGAAAAATGTCTTGCAGAGCTACTGCCAATATTAGAAATGTAAAATTATCCTGACACCTACTCCTCTGATGTCAGTCTCCCTGATGCCACACATCACCTTGCTCAGTATGCATTTTATTCACAGTTTTTGTATACATTAGTAGAAATAAAATATCTGAAACTCAGGTTTATTTGTTTAATCTAGCTGCAGTTCAACATAGGACTTATATTTCCTTTATATGGAATTTATTAGCAATCACATTACAGACGTAAGATTATGTTCCAGATATTTCATGTTTCAAATATAGTTTAGTGCTCAAAGGTACAGTTTTTTTCCTGCTCAGATAAAAATGTCGAGTGACTAATTTGTGAGATCTTAAAAAATGTAAATAAGTTGAAATTGTGTTGATGTGTGTCTTGTTATTTTGATAAGGTCTATGTTTTTTTTTAAATATTGGATCCTGTGAGTATTTAGCTTTCAGATGTAAATCTGTAGCAGTCTGAGCAGCGTTTTGATCTTGGTCTGACTCTCAGTTGATGGTGGATTGCACCACTGGCTGATCTGATGTAATTACCCCTCAATAAGCATCTACATGTGCTCTGTTGAGCATGAACACTGTTTATCCTACTAATGTTTTTTAGGCGTCACTGTAACAGTTATCCATAGAATCCATAACCTGATTTCACCCTTAATTGTACTACAGCAATAAGTACATTTTCTTATTTTGTCAAGTCTGTTTTGGGGTTTGAATTGTCAGTTTGCAAGTTGATCTTGTAGTAATTAATCTTGTTGTAATCTGACTTCTATAGGCTTTGTTCTACAGTCAGATATTCTTAAAAAAAAAACAAAAACCTTTCTCTTTTGTGTTGTAGCATGGCAACAGCTTCCATGTGTTCGACCAGGGCAGGTTCTCCAAAGAGGTGCTTCCTAAGTACTTCAAGCACAATAACATGGCCAGCTTCGTTCGGCAGCTCAATATGTGTAAGCATTTTTTATGATGAATGGACCACTAGAAATATTCCAGAACTACTTGGAATAAAATCAGTTTACATTATTTTCTATTATTGAAAATTAATGTTTGTGCTATCTTTCCATTTAAGTTAGGTTTATAGACAGTGTTTTGGGTGGACATCCAACAGATTATATTGACTAAACATCAGAGCATCAGCCTTACACATATTCCCCACACAAATTACCCTGTTGTAAACCCCAAGAAGATTAATAATACAAGCATATTGTTAGTCTGTTAAATGAATAGCTTTTGTATGCAGTTTGTTTTCTCTGTGTGAGTAATTAACTTTAGAAATTTGTTTAATGAATAATGTTAGAATGTTATGAACCACTCTGATGCAAGCTCATTGTTGTCTTCTGATAGATGGCTTCCGCAAAGTAGTTCACATTGAGCAGGGTGGATTGGTGAAGCCTGAGAAAGATGACACGGAATTCCAGCATCCTTTCTTTGTTCGTGGACAGGAGCACTTGCTGGAGAACATTAAGAGGAAGGTGACCGCAGTAAGCTCTGTTTTATTACTCTTTACTTTTACTGGTTATTTATAGTAAAATGGTAGTTTACTCTTATTTGTAAAATGTAAACTATCAACTACATTTGATACGAGTATCTGCCTTTTAGTAGTGCAAGAGAACAGTTTAGATATAAAGTCATCAAGGAGGATTAGTCTGTTGGGAATGAGTCAGTTAAACACAGTTGGACTTTGCTGTGAAGCTCCCCCAGAAAAGTTGTCAAGTTAAACTATTAATTTAATTTGAAATAAATTACTGTCACAGAAACGTAGTGAGTCAGTTGGATGTTTTTCTTTATTGCCTTGTAAATAATATTGCCAGAATTTCTCATTGGCCATGGCTAATACTTCAGTTTAAAGTTCTCAGAGCACATAATAAAAAAAATGTAGTACTCTTTTAAATACTCAGCAAGAGGTCAGTGTTTCACTACAAACCAAACAATGTACAGTTGTGAGAAAATTTAGAATGATCTCATACAAATCTGAATGAATGTTCCTAAAATGTGATCTGAACCCAAACCTATCAAACCTCTGAGTAAGAATGCTGATAAGGGATCATTTTATGCTTTTTATCTAGTGCTGAGTGGGATCAGCATTCTTCCTCTGAGATGTTTCATAAATTCAGGGTGCTATCAGTCATAGTATTAAAACATAAAGATCTAACAAACAACTCGCAACATATTTTATTAATCAAATGTGTTTTATTAATGTATTTTATTAAATGCATTTTATTAATCAAATGTCTTAAATAAACAAGGACATTGATCTAAAAGTATGTGAACCTTTATTTTTAGTAACCTCAAACAAATATTTTCTGCAGTTGCTGATAGTTGTTTGTGGTGTTATAAAGTACGTTATGTGTCCAAAAGTATCCAGACACCCATTTTAATAAACTTGGGTGTACTCATTGCTGATGCAAGCATTCATGCACAGTTTATATAATCTCTGTAGAGAAGCATTGCTGATAGAATGAGACTCTCTGAAGCCGCCAACCTTAAGCGTAAGGTCACTATACCCAATGTCAGACATCAGCTAGAGGAATTATAAAGCTTCTCAACATTGGGCTGTTGAGAAGCAGAACTGTGTTGTCTGGAGTGATAGCGTTCCATCCAATACCTTTGGGATTAGATAAAGTGCTGTTTGTGACCCAGAACTAATCATCCAACATCACTACCTGACCTCTCTAAGGCTTTTGTGGCTGAATGCAATCAGATCCTCACCGCAGTGTTTCAACATCCAGTTTATTATCTTTTCAGAGGACTATAGGCTGTTAGTGCAGTAAAGGGGTGGGTGACAAATTTCCTGTTAATACATTTATTTCAGAAGGAACATCGGATGAGCAGGTGTCTGCACACTTTTGGACACATTTTCTCAGTTGCACTGATTGCAAGTCATCCTGACCTTGAGGCAGCAAAGCAGCCTGATACTATTACACTCCCTCCACCATGCTTCACACTTAGTATGAGATTTTGGTCTGGAATGAAATGCTTTCTTTTAATATATCACATCACTGCGTTAAAAATTAACATTTGATATTTGACAGCAGAACATTCCATTAGTGCCGTTGAACATGCAGGTTGTCTTTCACAAACCTGACTCAGACAGTGCTGTGTTTTTTTTTGTATGTGAGTAAACTCCTAAGAACTCTTGTGCAATGTTTTTCGTATCCAGTGGCACTGAGTTTCTTCCCTCTAAACATTATGCCTCAATATGGACTGATGGATGCCCAGGTAGAGTTTCTTTTGTAACCCTTTTTGGTTCAGGAACGTTTCTTTAGAAGTCCTGTGAAATTTCTTCTGATAAGGCCATATTGCACTTGAGCAGAATTGTGTTGTGAAAGCTAGGTAACAGAACTTGTGGGTGTTTCTTTAAAACAACATGGCAAGTCAAAGCCATGCTGGAACCCCAGACGCAACGCACCTGCTTTTCAACAGGTCATGATTGTTTAAACCATTCACTCAGTGGAGATATTGTGATATATATAATGCTGTATGTGTTCTTTTAAGTAAGATTGACTTGAATGATGATGAGGTTGAATTCTCATGCAGAAATCCAGATCAAAGTCAGAATAGTTTGTTAGCCAAGTATGTTTTCACATACAAGAAAACTGTTCTGGTGAGTGCTCACAAAAACACAGAAAATGGTCAATCAAAAATTAAATTGGGGTGGAGTGATATATCAATAGTAATTAAAAAAATAGAGTAATATAGTAATATACATGCTTTATTTGAGTGATTTTGAAAGTGTATTCAGAAGTGTATTTTTTTTCTCTTAAAACTCTTATTGTGTTGCTTCAGTGTATTTGTAATTCACATATTAAGTTCACACTAAGCTGAAAACTGTAAATCTTCATTTCAATAAGTTATCAATCCCAGGTGTCCTCTTGCTTTGACTGTGGCCCTGATTGAGATAATCTCAAGGGCTCTGGGTGTCTGCCAGCCAGGGTTATGTGGATTAGGCCCCAGAAGCTGGTAATCTGGCATTGCCTGACCCCTCAGATGCAGGCCTTTTCCACTGCTCCGATTTTTACAGCCTTTTCCATTTGCAGCCCCTGGCCAACTGACCAGTTCAGAGTGAAATCAAACCCAAACCCTGAGTAAATGCTTTCCACTGTTTCTTTTTTCCCCCCTCCTCCATACACCCACCTCTGAGTTCAGGACAAGGCCACAGCCCTCACACAAACCTATACACACTGCTCTCTGACAGTTTCATGATGTTCATCCTCAGGTGTCAAATATTAAGCACGAAGACCTCAAGCTGAGCCCGGACGACATGACCAAGATGATCTCAGATGTACAGCAAATGAAGGGAAAGCAGGAGTCCATAGATTCTAAAATCAGCACCCTCAAACAGTAAGTCAAGCACTGTGAGACTGGTGGTTGCCAAGCCACTGAGGTTTCAGTATGTCTTTATATCTTAATCCTTCTCAATAGTGGCCCACTATATGAGTGGACCACTATTGAGAAGGCCATATGAGTGGAGGAACTAGTGGATTGGAGAAGAAGAAAATGATGACTTGCATAATCTCTTCCCCTGTAGTTCTTCAGAACTATGGAATGTTTTTTTTCTTTCTTTGGAATTGTTTGCATCTAAAGGGTGCGGAACCAGCTAAACAAATGGTTTGAAAGGCTAATGAAAACTTGTAGTGTTCACTGCGTATGCAACTTCATATTTCCCCCCCTTGCTTTTTTTTGCAAGTGAACTAAAGAGAGGTATGTGCTCTCCTTTTTTTTGTCTCACTTCTCGAGCAGAGCAGTAGGGCTTCTTTGTTAAGGCTGAGTAAAGCCTGTTTATTTTAAGCTCCTGATTAGAAGAAGAGTTCATTGAGCCCCAACACAGACTGAAATACACACAGGAGATAGTGTATCTGAAATGAGCCTGTTTCTGATACATTATTGAAAAGTGGAGTAATTTGTTGAGCTTTTTCATGGAATTATGAGCTTAGTTGTAGAGCATTCAGACAAGCCAGCCTTTGGTGTTGCCCATATTACTGTGTAAATCCGAGGTGCAATTTTTCATGTAGACTGCCTTTAGGCTGTCAGCAAAGATTTGTTTGTGTTTTGAGGTTGAAAAAAAATAAATAAATCTGAGCAACAGGTCTTGAAATCGTTAGCCATTCAGAATAAAATGCAGTGGTTGGTGAATTAGCTCTATTATGTGGAAAGTGGACTAAGCACTTCAGCCTTTGGGCCTCTACACATTGGTGACAATGCAGTAATGCTTCACCTTTTAGCCTGCCTTAGTCACCATCCTAAAACAGGCAAGCTCCCTCACACAAGCGAGATGTGGTTCACCAGCTGCAAGTTAGATTGTCAGTGCATGTCAAAGTGCACATCATTAAGACATCCCTTCCTCTGACACACAGCCCAGCTGCATTGCGCTGTTGTTTTTCTGGACTCTGGCCCTGGTTTGGAACACATGATTTCAGGGCAGGCCGGGTACTATACCATGTCGCGGAGATGATGAAATGCAGACGGGTTTTTGCGGATGAGCTCATTCATATCTGTCTGTCAGCAGAGCATGGTGGCATTTGCCCTCCCCATTGTCCCATGCTTACGAGAGTTTGTGTAAAATCTGGTGCTGAGGTGTGTATGTGTGTGTGTGTGTATGTATGTATGTGTGTATGTGTATGTGTGTGTATGTATGTATGTATGTGTGTATATATATATATATATATATATATATATATATATATATATATATATATATATACACACACACTGTGATTCATACCCAGAGATGGACCATTCTGATCATTTTGAGGTTCTGATTCTGTTTGTTGCTCCTCTTATTAAAAAGGAGTGAATGAACTCTGGTTAAATGCAGTCACACTAATGTACTAACTGTCATTCATAGCCTTTCAGATCTCATCTGACATATATTGTCTTTAACCTGCGCATTTTTTTAGTCAGCGTTTGCTTACTGTATAAGCTTTTGTGCTGTGCTACAAGAGTTCTGTTGCCATCCTGACACACATTTGTTTGGGCTGCAACCATAATAATGAAGCCTGATTTTAATGCATCCTTACAATGAAGAAAATAGAGCAGGCTCCGATAAATATTTACACAGTAAATAGTCTGTCAGTTTTGAACTCGGTGTGAAAGATTACATTAATATATGTGGGTTCATTTTCAAAACAATTTCAAAGGATGTGTGTTTTTTTTCATCTGTAAAAATCAGACTGTGTAAGTAGGCCTTTAGTCCTATAGTCAAAAGTCAAATGGTCTCTATTTTTATGTAGTGTTTGAATGAGGAACTGCAGAGTGCTGTGACCAAGGAGCTTCATGAGCTGCAGCAGTGCTTAAATATGGCACATATGTTTTACGTCACTTATAAACTCTCAGGATCAGCTAAGTTATAGCAAATTTGGGCTGAAAAATGGCCGATACCGATGCGTAGCTGATCGATCGTTCCGTCTTTAGTTATACCATGATATACATTTATGGCCATACCACCCCCAACTAATTTATGATTACGGCTTCTTCCTCCTTCTTGCTGTTGTGAAGCACATTCGGTGTGAAGGGGCTTTATGGGTTTACGCCCCCTCTGGCAGAATTTAAAACTGTCCTAGATATATCAAATATGTGACTGTAATGTACCAGTGATTTTAAGTCGCTTTAAAAAATTACGTTTATCGATAAATTTGTCCTGATTTATCCATTTTCCAAACTTGCAAATCGTCCAAGCCTTAAGTTTTTTTTTTTTGTTTTTTACCCAATTTTCTCCCCAATTTAGTCATTTCCAATTCCACCTGCTAGTTAGGACTCCCCTAGTCACACGATACTACCAACACTAGGAGGGTGAAGGCTAACACAGGCTTCCTCCGAGACCTGTGAAACCAGCCACCGCATCTTTCTGGACTGCCGCTCACGCAATGTCACTGGACAGCTGAACGCACTTGGAGGAAAGCGGCAACCGCCAGATCTGTTACATCAGCTAACAGACGCTTGCGCTGACTATCATCGTGCTGGGTGATGGGGGGAGAAGGAGGGACCATTCCACCCACCCATAGAGAGCGAGGCCAATTGTGCTCTCTTGGACTCCCGGCTACGGATGGCTGTAGCATCACCAGGGATCGAACTCGCGATCTCCTGATGATTGGGCCAACGCTTAGATGGTTGCGCCACTCGGGAGCCCCAGTCTTAAGTTTTTTAATGCAACCATTAGTTCACTGTTGGCTCAGCAAGAGAGGAAGGGCGTGAGAGTCCTCTGGTGGTGAGATTTAGGAGAGCTTTGATCCCCCTCCTGCATAGAGGAATCCACACCTGCTCCAATAAAGCCTTCTGTTGGTCCAACATAGGGAGTGGGGCCGGGGGGCAAACTGTAGGGCTCAGGAGAGGACTCAAAGAGCAGGCTCTTCCCTCTCCATGCTCTTTTACAGGCCCTCACCACTACTTTACAGGACAGCCATGTCCTCTGCTCAACTCCATAAAGGCAGTTGAATCTTACCCACTGGGAATCCACTTCTCCACTCTTTTCACCTCAGCAGTGCTCTTTCCTGTCCTCAGTGAGCTCTGCACTGGCTAAAGCCACAGAGAAACAAGGTGGGTTTTTTTTGGAGCTCAGGTGCAAATCAAATTTAGTGTTTTATTCCACTAAGGAGAAAATTTGTAGGGGTTGTTTTTTCACCTATGTAGCATGATTCATCGAAAAATCAGTGCTGTTTCAATTTTACTTGATAAATGAATACTTTCAGTTTCTTATGTTAAAAAAAATAACACTTAAGGCCTTTACACACCAAAGACAGTTTATTCACCTGATTTATTCAGAGGACAGTAGATTAATTCGAACAGAACTATAACAAATGGTATCTTGCACACCATACGTGTTTTTTTTGGGCTGCGAAAATGTGTTCTTTTATTTACGTTCTGTTTGCTTTTGCAAGCTTTTGTTGGTGCTAAAAACTCCCTGACCAATCACAGTCGTCTCTGGCTTTGGCATGACGACTATCCTAGAGACTAGGATTTTTAAGACCGATACCAATTTTGATATTTGTGAATTTAAAAATCTGATTTATACAATATTTTGGCCAATATTCTTTTTTTTTTTCTTCTTAAGAAATACATAACATAAGAAGTTTCCCTAACATTTCTTATGTTATTTAGGAGTCCTCACCAAGATGACATAATGCAGATTAAAAATAAACTTTTTAACTTAATGATTAACTGGTTACATGTGGGATCACCTGAACATGGCTTGTTACTCATAAATATACTAGAACTTCTTTTTGAGAAGTGAATAATAGTGTTGTAGTGAAAGACCGCTAGGTCAGGGTCTGAGTCAAGGCTGAGACTTTTAGTAGTTGAGTCAAGACCAAGACCAGATTTAATATCCACAAAAAAAATTCAAAAATGAAATTCACTTGTAGTTAATTGTACGTTTACTGTTTCCTTTTTTTAATTGTCCTTAATCGGCCATTATAAACACTGATACTATTTTATTTTCAACTAGCTCATATCGGCACGTCGGTTGGGCTCTAATGACAACTAAGATAACAAATTAGGTGGAACTGGAACATTTTCATAAACTCTAAAAGGATCAGAATCTTCTTAAGCAGCTCAGATGGAGCTCAAACTGGGCTTCAAACGTCGAGTTAACCAATGATCACGCTACTTTCACTTTTCCAAAATGGACAGTAGCCCAGTGTCACCATTTGCTCATTGTATTACAGGTAAAAGAAATTCTACACATTTGTACGTCGTCTCATGTGGAGCTGTATCTCTAAAGTCACAGAGATCCGATCTGTGAGTGAAAGAGTTTTAGCTCCTGAAATGAGGTGGAGAAACTTTTTTTTTTTTTTCGCTTTTCCAAAAAGCATCATGCACAATGTCACAGTTTGCCTGTTTCATGAGAAGCAAAGGATTGTCTCATTGATATTCTGCTTGTCTTTTTTTTGCCGTGCGAATGTTTTGCCAGATTTTTTTTTTAAATCGTCTCGTTAAGTGCATATAATTTTGATGCAAAAAATAACATCAGAATATTTCATTTTTTCATGCAGTTTTTTGTATTCGTCCTTTAAAAGTGTTTGGACATTTGTACCATACTTAAAAATGCATTAAGTCTGTTGTGTTACTTTGCGCAGTCCGTTCCAGGACTGTTATTTTCTTTTTGCAAAAAGTATTTTTTGAGCAGTTTCTTTGCAGATTTCTGTAGGCATGCATACATGCTAATTTGACTCGAGTGTGCAAGAAATTCATATGCGTCACTTGTGAAGTTTAAGCACCAAATTTATCTAGCATGGCCATGACAAAAACATAGTTCTTTCACACTGGCAGCATTGTGAGAAAGACAGGGTTGGGAAGCGAAGTGTGGGATATTTTGCCTACCTTGCTAAAAAGTTGACCAGCCAACTGACACCAATATGCAAAAACAAAGTTCCTCAACTGGAAAGCAAACAACGCAAGTTTGACTCAACATCTGCATCTTGAATTTTGCAAAAGAGAAAGAGCTTAAAAGTCTGCCGGTTTGCTCAGAATGTTTTTTCTGTGTTTTTAATTTTCTGTCTACAGTATTGTTTTGTTTTCAAACATTGTGATACTACACTTGATATTGAGGTAAATCTCTGGTATCTTGGCAACGCTTCATGTAACATCACCACTTCCAAAAAGCCCCAGCAAAGCCAAACATGGTGGTGTATCTGTTTGTGATCAGTGTCGAATGGGTGTTCTCCCAGATTGACAGTCTTTCTTTTTGTTTTGTTTCTTTGACATGAACGTTCTGAAAACATCTGCTGACATTAGAATGTAGCATGTGCTGAGCTTACCACTTCATTATAGGTGAATGGTGTATCTGGAGCAGAGTTCTTTAGGGCCATGGAGAGATGAAGTGCAATATATCTCAATTTCCATGTATCAGAATGGTTTGATATCCACCTGTGTGCCTGTGTGCTATGCTCTGGTGATTTAAGCTGTGTGTCAGGGGCCATGTGCACACACTTAAAGCAGTTTTAACAGTCTTGAGGGAACAGAGTTGAAGTGGTCCAGGCCGCAGTAAAAACCTGAATAAACAAAGGCTGCTTAGATCTTTTAATAGTCATTAACTTGGCAAAATAAAGTCCCCCAAGAATGTCTCATCTTTTACACTTCAATAAAAAAGAGGGCTGCTTTTTCCACATTCGCTAGCAGAATATTAATTCACGGGGATGTATACGGCAACCTTTAGGCCTGTTATGATCATGAAATTTTATCTGACAGTTAATTGTTGTGTAAGTAATTGCAATTAATAATTATTTTCTATTTATTTGGTTCATTGTATGCAGCTATTAAGGTACAAGGCTAAAGCAGGCAAATTGGCTAATTAGGAATCTTGCGTCTTCATACACTGTACTGAAATATACTGAAATGGTCCGAGAGAAATCTTACTTATACTGTGATAAACATTTTTGGCCGTACTGCCCACCTACTGCTCACTTTTGCAATGGCTGGGGTTTGACACCTGCCCCATTGCTTAGTCATTGCTACTCAAGTTGTTGCCTGAGCCTTACTCTTTTACATTTACCTTTAATTACTTTCTCTTTCTCTTTTTGTTTCTCTCTCTTTCTCACTTTATTTCCTTCTCTCTCTCTCTTGCTCTCTTTTCAGTGAGAATGAAGCTCTGTGGAGAGAAGTGGCTAGCTTGAGACAGAAACATGCCCAGCAACAGAAAGTTGTCAATAAGGTAAGACCTTATGTGTACTAACATCACACTTGAGCATTTCTGTGCTATCTTCTCCATCCAGGATGAGATTTTTTTTATTTTTTTATTTTCCCTTCTAGCTCTAATTGATGCAAAAAATCTGATCAGACTTCTGCATGTAAAGTACTGATATAATAAAGTGAGTTAAAATAATACAAACAAGGTAAGATGTACCAAGCTGCCAATTAATGCAACAGTGAAATCTATAAGCCCACCTAAAATGACCATCAACATTTCTTTTTCCCCAACAGAAAGTTTACTGTTCCAAATAGTTTATACCATCGCAAACAAATTTTTGCCTTAAAACTTTTTTAAAAATGTGAAGAAGCGCACATACACAAATACCTTTGCAACAGTTATTTTTAAAACTAAAGTTTATTATTATTATTATTAGTGGTGGCGGTGGTGGTAGTAGTAGTATTTTTATTACTGCTACTACTTTGATGCAAAATGTCATGTCGTAAAACATCTGAATACTTTTCACTATTTTTTGTGTATACACACAGGCCTGAGTGTGTACAAGTGCATAGGTTTGTACCTTGTGTATCATTAATTAGAAAGACTGTTGCACACGTCCAGCACTCCCGATGAGCAAGCAATCTTTTCCGCTCAAACACAGATGATGATCGAGAGACTTTTTCGGTAGTGGATGTTTTCTGTAAGCAGCAGTGTCAACAAAAAACGATCCAGTTATGTCTGCCTTCTTAAGGTACGACCTACGAACTGTGCGAAAGATGTCTGATATAAATGGGTTAAATCAACCAAAGGATGTCGATTGATTAATTAATTAATTTATTTATTTATTTATTCATTTATATATTTTTTTTTTATTTCTAATTTGTTACATACTTCTGCTTTGCCAAAATTTTGAATCATGTCTTGCACTGCAAACAATTAGCAACAAATAACGAGCTCTGATTTAACTCAACATGCGACTGGATTAGACTGTTTTCCCGTAGTGTGGTTGTTTTTGCATATGAAAATTAAAAAAAGGCAATATCAAGTTGTTTACAAATGAATTTTCCCTGAAAACGACCAAAGTATCCATGTAAAAACTGTCGAATTACTGAACATCAACTTGCCACAGTTTGAACTTGTATATATTTTTTTTTCTTTTTTCTGATTTCAGATTGCTCTAATGTGTACCAAATAGCCTGCTCATTTCTGTCAGCTTCAAACACGTTTTTTTATTTCCCCAGGAGTGACACAACATATCACATAAAGCAAAACAATGGATTTGTTTTTTTCAGTAGAGAAACGAGAGTAAATGAACAAAAAAAACCTGACTGTGAAAGACTTATCTAAGTTAGAGTACATTTACATTCACCTTTGATTGTATTAAGATGAATTTTTTTTTTTTTTCCCAGTCAGATTTCTTAAAGTGTTATAAGGACTGTCCTTACTGTTTTTTTTTTGTTTTTTGTTTTTGTTTTCTGTCTCCATAGCTCATCCAGTTCCTGATTACATTGGCGAGGTCCAACAGAGTTCTCGGAGTGAAAAGAAAGATGCAAGTTGTTCAGACATGTTACACATATGCTGTCTACATTAATATCCTAGACAGACCTGTAAAACTTTATGGGACTTTTGTCCAACTTTTTATGTCTTGAGATTTTTTTTTTCTTCTTCAGATTAGAATTTTTGTTTGCTCTTCTCACTCTCTTGTTCTCTTGATCACTCTATCATCAGGCCCTTAATGCTGAACGATAGCAGCACAGCACACTCTATGCCTAAATACAGCAGGCAGTACTCTCTGGAGCCTTCACCCACTCTCTCTGTGAGTACTCTTGACTGAGCACTGTGTTCATTGTATTTATTCAAAAAAGAGTAACTGCTGTTCTGTTTTTATTATTTTTTTGCTGAGATTTAGTTATAGAGTCACAGAATTGTACTCTGTATTCTTCATAAAACAAAGAAAAGGCCCTGCTCAGGGAAGAACTACATTAGGCTTTTTGTAATTGATAATTATTAATGTCAGCCTATTACAGCAGTAATTATATTGTTTAATTACTTTTAAAATGACATGTACAGTATGTAATAAACATATGTAAGCTAGATGAATGTGGAACTCATGTATACACTACCTGTCTGTTTCAAGTCATTGTGTGGGGTTTTTTTCCTGCTTCTTCTTTTCCAGCCGTCTGGCGCGACTTTTGCCGGAACAGGCATCTTCTCCTCCAACGCTCCCGTCAAGACTGGCCCTATTATCTCTGACATCACAGATACGGCCCAGTGCAGCCCAGCTGACAAGGAAGACTGGATTGAGGACAGGCAAGTCCTTATTCAAAAATGTGTTGTGTTTTCCCTCCCCCCTCCACAAAAGGCAGACTTGTTAAACACAGCTTAGGTGCACCATAGGTGTTAGTCAGTTGCTATGGCAACTCTTTCCCCATCTAATTTCAGATCTACACTGAGCATGACGTGTTTCATTAGCACTCCGTCAGTGATCATCCGTTCAATTTTACACTGCCTCTACTTCCAGTTCCACATGCAATAGCACGAAGTACAACAAGCAAAGTTACAGCACTGACAGCATGTTAACATTTCTGATATAAAAATTGTAAATCGGGTGACGTTTTTTGGTGAACAGTCTGGGCATTATTGTGACTGTAATTAGTATAGATTGTAAGTTCGTAGCCCAAGCATGGCTCTGTGAGCAGCAGTCAATGATGTCAACAAACTCTTTTTGCATGTACTTGTTGAAAATGTAATTTTTTTTATGCAATCATTCTTTAATGCTCAGTTGAAAACCTGAATAATAAGCCAAATACCAAAGATTTCTTCGGCTCAATCAGGACTGTAGTTGACAATAGGCTAGGACAATACGACACTGTAATTGAATATTGTTGACGATTGACAAGTAACCCAATGACGATGCTTGAAAAGTGATAATCGCCATTTAAAAAGTTTACGAAGTAATATTAAACAATATGTATACATAATGTTTTATGCACTTTTACTGTTAAAACATTGGGCTATTATGGGACCTTAAAAATTCCCCACTGTCCCTGCTGTGAGTTTCCCTGCGTCTGACATACAGTCTCAAAAAATTGCAGCATTATCTGTACAGCTTAAGTGTCCTGATGATTTAGATGTGTTAAAATTTTTTAAATTTTATGTTAACCACTTTTTTAAACTATGTACTGTCACGCAAATTATTTTTAGATATAGCTGAGGTAGTTAAGGAACAGCACTGATTTAAAATGTATGCGCCCAAGTGTAATTGTAATTTGAGTGATTAACGAGTAGAGTAGTGGTTTTAATCCAGTGTGGATCTGCAGTGTCTGTAGTTGTACAAGTCTGCTGAGTAACTCCAGAGTGTATTAAGGTCTGTAATTTGTCATGCTCTGACCTTTTACAGTAATAGTAGTCCTGTTTGAATCAGTCTCTTGATAACATAATGACAAATCCTGGTAATGGACATTGGCAAGTGTTGTTTTTGTTTTTTTGTTTTTTTTTTGTTGACTGGGTGAAGAGGCTAACGTCACGCTGATTTCGCACAGTTCGCCAAGTTCAAAAAAGGTTTATTGTAATCTAAAACATTTTTGGTGATGAGCTAATTAGAAGGACAATGAGAGTAAATATCCCATATGAATCAGCCAGTCAAATGCCTTTTTACGTTAATAGACCTCCTCCAGTAAAACTTAATCCAGCTTGAATAGGGCTACAGACACTGCATTCAGAATCTGGGAGACATCTTTTCAGTTTGTCCTTCAGAAATTAGTCAGTGTTTTTATCACATTTGGGTGTGTAATGGAGATCATTGTCTGGTCAACAGTTGTCCTCAAAGTTAGGAAAAAAAACACTGATTAGAAATGCCTCCCCACTGTTAACAGAACAAGCCCATTGGTGCACATTAAGGAAGAGCCATCAAGTCCCTCCCACTGTCCCGAGATAGAGGAAGTGTGTCCTGTGGAGGTGGAAGTTGGGGTGGGGTCGAGTGTGCCTGCTGACACACCTCTCTCCCCCACCACCTTCATCAACTCCATCCTTCAGGAGAGTGAACCCGTGCCTGCCCCAACTCCGCCCCCCACAGAGCACAGATGTTTAAGTGTGGCCTGCTTGGACAAGTGAGTATGACCCTCCATGACCCAGACAGCAGTTTGATCCTATTCAGCTGTAACTCTAAACCAGCCTCCGCAAGCTCTTTCTCAGACTTGAGTTTGTGCTTCATATCTGTCATGTTCTGCCTGTGTCTGTAATTCATAACCTCCAAAACTGCCACAATCCCCTTTTGTCTGGGGCCTTATTTATAAAATGTATCCATGTGTAAATTTCCTACTCTCCTTCCCTATCCTTAAGGAAATATTCTCAGCATTTGCATGCCATTAAAAACATATGTTTACTTAAATATACATACGCACAACTTTGAAATGCAGGTGAGTTATTTATAAATTACAAACGATTATAGAATTAAGTGCAGCTGAGCCAGTTTTGCAGCTCCGCCTAACTTACTTGATTTGAATAGAAATGTTTCCAGTAATAAATATTGTAAAGGAGAGAAAATATTATAGCACAGCATGTTTTATTCTACTCTATTGTTTGTTGGCTTTACAAGCATGCTAAATTGTCTATTTTCTATATTCATTTATTTTTTAATAAACAGAGCAAAGAAAACCAAAGTATTAGTGTACATAAACAAAGATGTTTTACGCAGGGTCAGGAAGGACTAAATGGTATTTTGCTTTGCAGCCTATTTAGAGTAGCATTGTTTGCATTATTTTTGAAAAGGACAAAGACAATAAGTTTTATTTAATCTGTTTTATTTAAATTATTTGGAATGGAAATGGTACTTTCTTATATTAGTATGAAGTGCATGTTCACAGTGGAGGGGAGGAGGAGCCACTTGGCAGCATTTGGCCTATCAGATACAGCTGTGCCCACCTGTCTCTAGTTAATTTTCTGTGACAAATGTAAGCATTTGATCCTGGCTTGATTTTGAATGATCCAACAAGCATATAGACCTACATCACTAGAAGAAAGTTTTACATTGTTGTTAAGGTAACATCACTGCCATAATAAACAAGTTGTTTGTTGTTAGACATTTTTTATCTTTCGTAAGAGCTCATTGCTCACCACAGCATGCTCTCTCCCTTCAGCAATCACAGGATGTGAAGTATTTGTTACTAATATGTGGGAACTAAATGATATTGGTCAGATTTATTATGAGGTTAGAAAAGGATCAGGTTGGAAACGCGCATCAGTCTATGCACTTTTCGATGTCAAAGTCCCGTTTTATATGTCATTACCTCAATGTGAATTTTCACATGCAACATTTAAGATCAGATCAGTGCGTACCACTGTTTTATAAATGAAGCCCCTGGACTGAATTCTTCATTAAAACTGCATTATGATTAAAAATCATAAGACCGGGACTAAGCTTAAATAGTGCCTTCCAAACCACAGTTGCGTGACATTGTTTTTGAACGCCCAGAAAAGCCAAGGTAGCTAATAATGAAGATTGCTTGGGCTCAGTTAGCATGATCTAATTTGCACCATGCTAATTGTACTTAACAAGCTATCGTTAATTAGAAATAATCTCAGCATTTTTGGTTGAACTGTTGTTTTAAAGGCCATTCTTACTGTCAGCATCGTTTAATATGATCTGTATTTGCTTTGTCATAACCCATGCATTCTCATGGTAACTGTGCCCTTTCTCTGCAGCAAAAGAGCTACGTTAACATTACATAACATGCATTCTTCTGAACCTTCAAACTCTAAGTCTAATTAATGACTGGCTTTCTTAATTCAGCTGTAGAGGCCTCTGTTTTGCCCCAAAAAATTGATGCTGTACTGCCACTTTCCTAATTTTGTCCATAAACTTCTGTCAGTATTATTGATGTATGGTGAAATAAAAGTTTACTTAAGGGATTACAAGGTTTGGAAACAATTGGATTCATATCAACTAGTGCTTTGTGGCATAATGCAAATAGACTTGAATTCATGTCTATACCATAATGTCTGATTTACAGCAGCCAAGTAGTCCTGCATTTCCACTGAAACCTTCAGTCTTCCTTTTCTCTGTGAGAGAGCGCAGTAATTGTGTAGTGCCTCCCCTCCCACTGTTTCCAGTCCCATGTTGTGCTTCTATCTTTTCAGTTCCCCCCAGATGTCTGAGGTCTCACGCCTTTTCCCCAGCCTCTCCTCCTCGTCTCCTCACCTCAGAACACATACAGGGTTAGCATTTCAGTTGGTCGTGCCATCCCCAGAGCACGCAGTGCTGTGCTTCAAAAGCTACCAAGGCCCGCTCACACTAACCATGGACAGCGATGGCTCTCGGCTTCAGTGCTCTAAAAGCCTCAGCCACCTCTGTGTTCACATGAGTTGTTATGATGTAGGGCTTGTGCTAGGGCTGCACAGTATATTATTTGTAAATCTTTATAGCAATATTGGATATTGGCCTCTGAAGTACTGATATTGTAGAATATGCTGGAGTATGCAAAAGAGGCCTCTAGCAAGTTGCAGATTTTATTGTGTGGTGTGAGCATCAGAATCAAATCTCAGAAGAATTTCTGTAGATGTTTGACAAATCAAGGGATTTATGTTTTGCAATTTGATTATTTTGTTCAAAATAATGCAGGGCAGTCTTTAACCACATCATATTAAATATTCACCAGTGTGTTTTTAATATATCATGTATCACGGTTGCAGGTGGGATTTTGTTCTTTGTTGTGCAGCCCTACCTAGTGTTATTGTTTCTATAGATCATCACAGTTAACATCCATATAAACACAGAATATTACACATTTCAACAACAGTGCTCCTGAGTCAACAGTGAAACAGTGGTCTTCCTCTTTACTAAGTGGTTCAGGTTTAACTGGTACTCAGGCAAGACTCTTGTTGTTATGGGCTAATACACAAAGTGACTGAAAGTTCCTGAGCTTTGGGGCGAGAGCCACAACTCTTCCTGTGAGATAAATGTGTAATGGCGTGATAATCAGTAATGGCTTATTTTGATTTCTAAATGAATTACCATTTGGTCATTTTGGAGTGTGGCATGGCATTTAGACTGAAATGCATGTGCTTTTCCAAACGCCCCTTCCTGGGTAGGCATTTGCATAGTCAGGCATCCCTTTCAACATGACTTAAAAAAGAAACAAATTCGGTGGACTAGCCTGTTTCCCTCCCTTGTTCACCAGCGTGTTGCACAGCTCTGTTGCTTTGATTGACACTAAAAATGAATACTTTTTATGTATTTTTCATGTGTTTTGTTAGTTCTCAAAGACCTTTTTTAGCCCAAGCCTTGTCAGAGAAATAAGTGCTTACCCCTGAATGAAAGTGTTTGTTTTTTTAATCTGTACCAGGACTGAGCTCAGCGAGCACCTGGACAACATTGACAGCGGCTTGGAAAACCTCCAGTCGATCCTCAATGCACAGTCTATCAATTTTGATTCTTCGCCTCTCTTCGATGTGAGTGTCTTTTTGCTCTCTTTCAATATCACCAGAAATGTAATGTGATTTTAACGTTAAGTTCATGAATTAAGGATCAGAGTCCTTTCATGATATGTTTTGTAAGATCCGTACATTTTTAGTAGTTGTACAGGAGGGGTGTAATGACATTTAATACAGAAGTACAAAAGAAATGATAAGGTCAGCTTTAATTTTTGCGGTCTTTACTGTTGTCTCTTAAAAAAATAAATAAATAAATAAAACACAGCAGTGCTTGTTGAAGAGACAACTGGCACAAGTCATTTTCTTAGAATAAATGAAAGTATAAAGAATATCAGTATAAGACAAAAATGTAAACAAGGCTACATCAGTGTTGACATTAATCTAAGTTTAGGAGAATTGTGCAAGTGGTAAGGATCTGCTTTTTACTTGTATTCTGATGTGGGTTGTTTTTTGTTTTTTGTTTTTTTTTTAAATATAGATCTTCAGTGCAAACTCTGCCTCTGATGTTGACCTGGACAGTTTGACAAGCGTGAGTCTGACTTAATTGAATAATACAGCTCTAGAATTTTATTCTTTTCTAGTTGGTATTAGGTTGTGACACACAAATCAGTGCATTCGTGTTCCTACGTGTTCCTTCCAAATGCTGCCATTTGCTGAGACTGTGGTAATACATTGCACAATGCAACCCCAATTTATTACACAGAAGATCTTAATACACTGTAAAAAATAGCATCTTGCCAAGTGAAATGATCTGATTTCTTACATTTTTCAAGCAGAGATTGTAAGCCTTATTATAAGAGTGTTTAACATTGTTCACAGGTGAAGTTACATTTTACTCCATTTTGATTAGTGCATTGCATTCTGGCCCACGGTTACCAAGCCAGTCACATGCAATTTGCGTACATCAAGCTCTGTGAAAGAGAGCCTGAGGTATTGGGTGATCAACTGTAGTGACATTTTTCAACAAATGATTTTAGTGCTTAATCTGTAATATGTGTATGTGGTTACCTGGTTACATAATAAAGGAAAATTTACATTAACATTTACATTGAGTTTCTGGATGGTGGCATTTTAGCTTTAAGATTTGTTCAGTTCACACAGTTTTTGTTCTGCCTGTCTTTGTTCTGCAGAATGTGTTATAATAACAGTTTCTTAAACTCATCTAATTACAGATTCAAGAATTACTCTCACCAGAACCTGCCAGAGAGACGGAGTCTGGTGCAAACTCCAGTAAATCGGGTATTTGCTGCTGCCATTTGCTTCCTTTGCGTTTTTATGTTAATATGCTTCTTCTTTTAGGGAGGGGTTAGGTTGCATTTTCACATTCAGTACATTGACAATGCCATTTTATTAGAACTCAGAACGCAGCTATAGTTTTAATTTTATTTCTCTTAGAAAAAAGTGATGAAACATTAAGTCCATTCATAGCAGGCTGTGTTCCTTCTGGAGATAATCACTTTCCAGGTCACAGGAGTTCCTCCGCATCAAAATCATGTCAAAATCATGTCTTTGGACCTTACTTTGCGCACAGGGGCACAGTCATACTGAAACAGGAAAGGGCCTTCCCCAAATTGCTTCCACAAAGTTGGGAGCATATAGTTGTCTAAAATGTCTTGGATGTTGCATAATACTACAGCTCACTATAACTAAGAGGTGAAAAACTGTCCTAAACCGTTATTCCTCCTTCACCAAACTTTACTGTTGACATTATGCATTCGTAGCATTCTCCTGGCATCTGCCAAACCCAGTTTCATCCATCAGATTGCCTTATAGTGAAGTGAGGTTCATCACTCCAGAGAACGTTTCCACCGCCCCAGAGTTCAGTGGTTGCGTGCTTTACGCCTCTCCAGCTGACACTTGGCACATAGCGATTTTAGGCTTGTGTGCAGCTACTCGCCCATGGAAACCCATTTCATGAAGTTTCCGACACATAGTTCATCTGCTGATGTTGCTTTCAGAGGTGGTTTGGGACTATCTGCAAGAGAGTATCTTATAAAAGTTTATAACGACCAGTCCAAAGGCACATAAACCCTTCACTTGGTCTACTTTGAAATTTTGAAATGTCGAGTTTTTTTTGATTTTGTCTGAGATTTTTTCTATAGAACTGAATTGCATTTTGCTCTGTTTCTGGTTATGTTTCAGGAAAGCAGCTGGTTCAGTACACAGCTCAGCCGATGGTTCTCCCTGACCCGATCACTACAGAGACCACTGGGGAAGACCTGCCCATTCTACTGGAGTTGGAGGGGGACTCTTATTTTGGCCAGGACCCTGTGGAGGATCCCACAATTTCACTTCTGACCACCGACTACCAAACAGCAGTACCAGAAGACCCCAAGCTATAGTAGAAAAGGCAGCTTTTATAAAGGGATTTACATGTGTGGATTTTTTATTTTTCATGTTTTCTGTTGTGTTTTCCCCAGTTCTTTTTCTTTATATGTTAAACTTAGCCATGTCACCTTTTGCTCTGTTCGTTCTTTTAAATCCATGATTTCTGAGCAATAGAGAAATACCTTTTGCTGTTGTTTCCTCATAATTGCATTGTTCATAGATTCGGTGCAGTGGAAATGCACACGTTTAATTTCTTACTTTTGCAGTTGTGTGTTTTTAATAAAACATCAGGTTGAAGCCGTACTCGGGAATGACCAAAACGGCTCCGTGGCCAGGACTTATCAACTGATATAATTTAACAAACCCGCCCTACTGAAGTAGAATGAATATGGTGTTAGGAATGTATTCATGCTACATAAATCTATATTGTAATGTAACTGTAACGCTTTGCTTTGTATGAGATTTTTCACACAGGTATTGCAAATACTTTTAGCTTCGTGCCTCCTTTGAGGACTTTTGCTGGCGGTAGCTATTCCTGAGTGGGACTTTAATTCTTGTAACAAAACGTATATGCGTACAAGTATTATGTTCTCTCTTTATCTGGCACGCAGAGTGGGGGGGCTTGTAAAAGAACCTGTTCTTTTCCTCCCCTCCAAAGCCGGTTTAGCATAAAGACTGTTCAAATAAGCTGTTCTTAACTCTGCTGCAAAATGAGTTGAAGATGGGTTTTGTGCACATTTGCTCGTTTGACTGAGAGCTGTTTCGTTTTGTTTGTTTTCAGATCTGAGTGTAGACCCCTCATCACTACAGCTTACTCAGTTTTGGAACAGTACCGAAATGTATTTAACTCATATTTTGAAGCTTGAAGTTGCACCCGTTTCCCATCCAAGTACTTGGTTCTTAAATTACTGAGAGATTTTAATTTGCAGCAGCCATGGTATGGAATACTGTGGCTGTTGTTTTCACGGATACTGAAATTTTTTAAAAAGTATATAATGTATGTGAACATAGATTGATTACACAATGTGTAGAAGCCCTCACGAACCGGCTATATTGCAATATCAAGCTCTCTTCTGCTCAAAAATGAGGCTAACACACAGAGCTTCTCTACGCTGTCACACAAAGAACTTGTATCTCGGTTTTAAACTCCAATTACCCTTTCCATGAAAATTTTGTGATGAACAGCAGCAGATACGGTCCAGAGTTACTTAGAAGAAGGTCTTTTTACATTAACCACCTTTACAAGTTACGATTTTTTTTTTTCTGTCTCCTGTAAAGTGAATTTTGGAGATATGAGGTATTGTTCCGACAGCGATGTTATACATGTGCTACTGTGCATGTTTAGGATGAAATTGATTTTTGGTTCATATTTGCATTCTCAGTGTAGGAGTGCTGTTTCCAGGTCAGCTTTTACTTTGCACCACATTAACTGTTCTCCAAACAAAGCAGTAAAACTGATCCTAGATCAGCACTTCTGTTTAAAGATGCTTTGTGACTACAGACCCAGTTCCACATTTGCCTTAGTGTTCCGTCGTATTTATTTCGATGCAGTTTGCTGTGCTAGATGACTGTGCGATTATTATTTTTTTTTAAAGAAGTTAGCAGTGCGGCAGAGGATGTATGAGGAACGTGTGAGTGAGGTTGTGCGCATTTAGAAAAAAGAAAAATCTGCCTTTCTCACTATAGGCAAGTCTACTGTGTATATAGCCAAAACAGAGGCTTTATTCATGTGCATATGTAAAGGGCCAAGGCTGAAAAAATATATTTGGTAAATTTGGCACTAAAAAATTTGATGGTTTACCACAGATGTTCTCTTGACAGCAGTAATGGGGCAGTTTTGTGGACGCTGATTATTCCTAGTGCAGGGTTGGCAGTCATAAACTGATCTAGAAGCAGTTTTTCTGGCCAAGTTCAGCAGAGGGATCTTCTCCTAGATCAGCTGTCACTTTGTGATGCTTTTTCAAACACGCATCCAAGACTATGTGCAGTTTTCGCGTGGAGAATAACCATTCGTAGTGAAATCAGTCACAGGTTTGATGGATCGTAATATGGCAGCCTGAGCGTTTTTCATTGTTGAAACATTCTTCTCAACTGACTGGGTAGCATGTGTTCTATAAACCGAAAAATCAAGAGGTCATTTTGAAAAGGTTGTGAAATATTTTTTCACATCCTGACCAGTTTTGATAGCCGTGCATGACCTTTTTTTGTATGCAACAGAGATCAGAGGTGATGCAAATTTGATACTAAAAAGATATTCTGCCAGATTGAAGTGAGTCTAAGATTGAAAATGTATTTATTTTGTATGATCTGTACCCATGCTGCCCCCTGGTGGCTCCAATTGGTCAAGCTTTGTTTCTGGTGAAGTAGGGAGAGCAATATGGTGTGGCGAGAGCAGGAATTACGTATATATAAAATATATATATTGTTGGTAATTTCTAATATTACAATCATCAGTCTCAATTTAGTCATTAGATATCTGTAATAGAGACACAGCTAAATTATTTTGTTACGCATGTGAACAACACTTTGTGTATTGGTATGTTTCAAATAAAAATATGTTTTTGAAAGTATGACGATTTACAAGATTGACATCACCTACATCACACACACACACACACACACACATCTGTATTTCTTTTTCTATGATCTGATTGGAGTGCCACATTAAAAAATACTCTCAAAAATGATAAATCCTGTGGTTATATATAATCCAATTACTCTTTGTAATCAAACATGCAGTACTGATCTACATTGTTACTTATTGTAAAATATCACAATAATGATAAATAATGTCACTGAAACATGATATTGTTGATAATATTATTTTTCCTGCTTACTTGTGCATGGTGATGGAAACAAAACTGAGAAAATGGTTTAGAGGCAGACAAAAGTTATTACATTTTAATAGAAAATTTTGGCAAATTTTGTCTTTTAAATAATACCATTGTATGCAAAAGTTTGAATGCCCCTGGTTGGATTATGTTTTGTTGATTTTTTGACACCCTCAACAGAGAACACACTTCAATGCACATTGTAATGCACAATTATTGTTTATTTAAAACATGAAATGTAGCCTGTGCAAAAGTTATGGCCCCTTTTTTCCCCCCCAGCTGTTGAAGAATTTGCAGAAAAATGTCATTTATATTTTTATACACACTGTCTCTTTTTTATATTTTTGTAGAGGATGTGTTAACTTCTTTTCACTTAGAAAATCAACAAAACATTTAATTTGACCAGGATTGTTGACTTTTCTTTATAGCAGTACATGATGAATCATGCTTGATTTGACCAAAGACATGAACATGAACAGTTTTGATTTCAGGTTGACTTTAAACCAGGGGTCTCAGACTACTGGTGAATGAGACCGCTTGTCAAATATTTACAATTTATCTTAAATCTGACCCACAAATCTTTATGTGAATAAATGTTTAAACCTGATAGGTAGATTTGCATTACCAACCAGACACTGTGGCTGGTTCCTTAACTTGAGCTATATAAAATTAGCTTAGGCTGATGCTTACGTTGCTAAAAGCAAAAATAGAGTGCTGCATGCAAGATGAGCCATTCAACAGAACCTGACACAGCATGAAAGGAGAATTTTTATAACAATTTGTAACTAAATATTACGAGGTAGCCTACCGACGAATAAACACGTGTCCTTGGTGTGTGGTCATAAAAAAAGCTTGAGTTTGATGTTCAAAATAGACGTTAAATTTAATGTGAAGATTATTTTCAAATGACATACATTTAGCAATGTACAATTCTGTGACACGTGTAAAGAATTGCTCAGATAGCTAGGCATCGAAATACAGCAAGACATCATGGAAAAAAGAAGAAAAAAAAAACATTTGCACTGTCACCTGCCTTTTAAATATGAAGTCTGAAGGGGTGAGACTTCTCCAAGTCTCATTACTGTTAAGTATTTTTCCTTTCATTTCTGCCCCTCCACATTCTGCCTTATGTAAATGAAGGAAATAATTACAGGGGACTTAAAAACAGGCGCAATAAAAAGTTACCTTACAGTGTCATCTGAATGTTTAAATAGGTAAACATAAAAACAAAACCGACACACACACACAAAACAAAGTCTAAGGCTAGTGGGTGGGTTTGCTGTTCCTCTGCCAGGCCGACTGGTCCGTACACTGAAATCTGTAGCGCAGAAACTTCACGCGTGGCTTCATGTGAAAATCAGCAGGTATCTTCCAGTTCCACATTTTCTGCACCTTGTAGAAGTGCAGAATGCAGTTATTTCATGCAGGTGATCTAAGCTGACTGCTGTACTTTACTTTCTTGTAGCCGTTATTCAGGGATACTGACCACAGATTGCCTCAGAAAGCAACAGTTAGATTTTTTCCCAAAAGTCTGTCCTCTAAATCTTACCTCTCTCAGGAGTACAAGATTCCAAAAGGGGTTTTACTGCTTTTTCAATGCTAACAAGTCTATGAACATCTATAAACAGTTACAATATCCTACGTTCTCTGCAATTCAAAGGTTTCATACTGTGTACACTTGATGGTTAAAAATACATATTTCAAGAGATTTCAGCAGAAATAACTTATCATGATAAAAGGCTTTGTGACCCACCTTCAGGACCCTGACCAGATGTGTGGTACTGTTCACCTGCTGAAACTGGACAGAACAAGCAAAACCGACAAAAGAAAAGAGCTATTGAGCATCTGTCAAAGGACAAAAGGTGTAATACTTCACAAGGAGTGGTCAGTGTACTATGAAATGACACTAATGCTAGGGTGTATTTAGCATATTTGCTAGCACTTTAGGCAGATCATTAGCAGTTCACTCATTCAGTCATATGCCAAAATTTGGGCAACCTGGTTAAATGACGTTAATTTTCTAAGTGAGAACAATTACGCATCCTTTACAGAGAACATACTTCTGCACATTTATTGTTCATTTACTGAATTCTACTTAAAAAAAATGTTCAAGGTCTCCCCCCCCCCAATATTTTAAACTAAGTAAATAAATATGAATTGTGCACTAAAATTAGAAGAAAAATGCCATATTTAAGTTTCCTGGTTTTAGAGGATGTGCAAACTTATTTTTGTCTTATTTAGAGAATCAACAAAGCATGTGATATGACTTTTACATACAACTTTAATTTGACCAGTGGCTTCTGCATACAACTGTACATACGATAGTGCTAATTCTCCGCATTCCAGTCTACCTCAGCGTCTGAATTCAAAAGGCTATTCCATCTAAAGATTCAGTGGTCCAAATTCAGTACAGCAGAGAGAGGAGTTCACTCCGAGCACAACTCAGAACCTAACTGGTGCACCGATATGGGAATTCTAGGGCCAATGCTGATATCTGATATTTTCTGTGTATATATCTGTCAATACTGATACTGATACATCTATAAAATCTAGAAATTGCCACTAAATCCATCTAGAAAAGTATTAAAGAAATTTATTTGTAGACAGTTACAAATGCTGTAGAATTAATCAAATGAAGGCATTTTAGCATCGCAGCCCGGTGTCACCTAAACATTCTGCTCTTTCAGAATACAGTAATTCTTTGCGTACTTACATATTGGTTTTAATGATTGCTCAAATCTTATCATTAGTCCGAAGGCAAAAACTATTAAAACAAGTGCTATAATACCGTTACCAGAGGTAGGTAGTAGCTTAAACCCAAACTCAAGTAAAAGTTTTAATACTTGGATAAAATAATGACTCAAGTAAAAGTACCTTCCCAAAACACAACTTCAGTAGAAGTACAAAAATATCAAGTAACTTATAGCACTGAAGTATAGAAACTGAGGCTATATGGCTCTATTTTTTCTGGTCTAAAATAAAATGCTAAATCTGCAGAGGTGTAACCAATCTCAAAGCAGTACAGATGCTGTCACCATCAAAACTGGAAAATGAAAAAATGAAAAATGAAACACAAAAAAGGAATTAGTAACTAAATATAATAATCTAATATATCTAACCAGTTACTACCCACCTCTGATGGATACAATGTCAATGTCATTGTGACTGGCTCTTCTCTGTTATGAGCAGTTTACTATCTGAACATAAAGCAATCCTTAAGTATCTCACTACTCTGAATATGTTCCCCATACTCCTTTCACATATACTGGGGTTAATATATCAGAAGTGGTGTACATGCTGTTGTAAATGATGGTCAAATGACACCAACGTTGTGCCACTTATTACCAGATTGCAGGAATCCAAAACTGACCTAAAACATCTCTTATTGAATTATACCCTGAATACATGAAATATTCTTACAGGCTAATATGGAATAATACAGTATGGAAGATATGTGCTAATAAACGCTTATCTTATACTATACGTTTTCTGTTTTAGTTTATTCACTGTACATACCTTGGACAAATGTTTGGTCACTGCTAAGTCTTATACAAAGTCCAGACAAATGTGTAAGTGTTATGTATTGATATATGTCAGAATATGTTACTGCCCTGCTAGAAAAAACAGCACAGACCAGCATGAATTCCATGATGATTTGAGCTGATTTATGCTGGTCTGGTGCTGGTTTAGCTGGTCATTCAGCATGGCCATGCAGACCAGCATTCCTATGCTGGATTTGCTGGTGACCAGCCATGCTGGTCTATGCTGTTTTTTCTAGCAGCACCTTCACCTGTAAACTTCCATTAAACTTACCAGCTGGTTGTATTTGTTCCGTAGCACCAAGTTGACCTGTAGAAGAGTAAAAATAATTAACATAACAGAATCTCACTGCTAATAAAAGACATATTCGATACCCTCACATTACATTTGCTGATTGACAACACTAACGCATTGATAGATATTTTCATCATATATTCTAAATAGAAATCCTTATATAAACTTTAATATCTCAGAGCATTAAACTTACTTGGACCCCCGAGAGTCCCTTGAGGTTCAGATGTAGCTGAAAAACAATAGACCATGAATTAATAAATTCTGTGGGAATTTATTAACGTTAACTGTATATGTATTTATGCTATCTGCTGCATTCAAAACAGCATGTGATGGACCCACCAGTGCCCATGGCATCTGTCTGTGCGGAGGCTCCAATTGGACCTCCCGTAACTGAAGAGTGTCAGTATATTAGTATTAAAAGTACAAAATCATCTCAGCTGATGGAAAGACATGAGTAGTCTATGTAGTTCATTAACAGGTAGTTTGCTTTGAAAATTTACCAACCTGGAACCTCTGTCTGAACCACACTATTATGTGACCTTGAGGCATCTGAAAAAAGTGAGGAATGATTTTGACCAGACATTTTTGTAAGAGGGTTCCTGCATCACAGATTGTTATTATCATATCAGTTGTTGATGACATACCTGTAAATCTAAGCCCAGCCTCAAGCACAGAATCTGCTGTTGGGAAAGACAGACTAAATATAAAATGATTGCATGAGCATGTGTTGGGAGCCTTTATTCACTTTACTGAAAGGATCACAGTTACCTGTATGATTTGACATTCCATCAGTCACACCTCTGCCATCATACCCTGTGTAAGACCAGTATTTATTATTCATTAGAAAATCTTGTTTTTGTGTTCTGTGACATTTAAACATAGCAAAGCTATATGTATTTTCTACA